ATTATTGCAGTGTGGTTGCTGTTAGGCAAGGTGTTTAGTTTTGAAAGTTTAACATTGAATAACTTGGATATAAAATTGGCCAGAATGTGGTCATACAAGGGATGCACTGGCATCAGTATTCAGAAGAATACTTCCAATGTCTGTAGAAAATGGACATTCACTGCAAATGTTCGACATCTCCTTTAGTCAGCCTTGCCTTTACCATGGATAGTCCAATCGTCTGTAGGCTCAGATTCCTGCAGCCAGGTCCTGGGGCTGATCTACTGATCTGTGTATCTCAGTTACAGAGATTTACTCACATTCACCAACTCATCACCAGTACAGAAAGTGAGGAGAAATGTAAGCTTTTACTGCTGTCACTAAAGCAAGAGTAAGAAGGAAAATCTTCCAGTGTGGACTGGAAAAAAAGAACACAGGTTTTAGCATTTGCCCACTCTGTCTAAAACCATAAAAAGATACAATTTGGCTGGAGTTTCGGATTTTAGAGCTCATTCAAACCATACGTGCATGAAAACTGATGGGAATATCACACACGTTTCACTTGCAGAGACTTTTACATCAGTTTTCATGCTCATTTCAGTGAGTTTTTCTGTATGTTGCCATCAGTTTTCATGCATGTCAGTTATGTGCCATGATCACACCACATGAATACCATGTCATGTCAGTTTATTTTCCATGCAGAAAACTGCATACACATTGCAGATTCCTGTGCAGAAAAAAAAAATCAGCTTGTGCTACCATTGTTGCGGTGTGAACAGGGCACATGGAGAACATTTTGTTTTGTACCCTTGCAGAAGAACTGATGTTTCTGCGCATGGTGTGAATGAGTCCTTACTGAAGAAATTCACTCATGTCATCACCTGCAATTTCAGCAGTGTGCTTGATATGAGATCTTGCAAAGAATCTCAAAGGAAAAAACTACTGGCCGATTTATCGGATAATAGTTGCCCAGCTTATCTAGGTCAGGACCAGATTTATACCTCCTATTCTCTCTAACAGGCGTGTGCTACCCTCTCTTAATCCATTTTACTGTCTAACATTTGTATCTCACTGACAAGATCAGAGATAATCCTAAGCAACTGGAGGTATTGCCTAGCAGCTGTGCCTCACGTAATGCTGAGTCCTGTACAGCACAGTTACCCATAGGCGGCATGGTCTGCTTAGCCCTTGTAAGACAGTGACTACCACTGCAATGTTGTGACTGTAAGCAAGTTTGGCTTACAAGACTGATCATTTATTTGAGGCCAAGTGAGGTCTAAATATCAGTTTCCAGCAGATCTCACACTGTTAGGAGGAGGACAGAGCCCCATGCTTCTGAATGTCATACAGCCGCAGGCCTGGCTAGTGGTCCACTAGTACTAGACAATGTCTTTGAGCATGTAAAAAGCTGAACCGTGTTTGTGGATCATTTCCCATTATATCTTCCATTGCAAGGTTGCAAATTACAACTCTCCCTGTTTGCTCTGGCTCTGATTTAGGAATATGCGACACTGGAACATGTTACTGCTACTCTCTGCTCAGCAAGTGCTGTTAAGTTGTTACTTCATGTGAAGAGTTCAATACTGATTTGAATATAGATCTGTGAAGTCCATCTAATTTTACCCTGAGCCCTGATGAAGAGGGTTGCCTCTGAAACACGTTGGTGGTTTTTAGATGACTTTTTTTTTTAACCAACATTTAAAATGATCTTGGACTCTCATCTATTTTAGTCTTGTACGCCTTTCTGCAATTCTATGGTGTGAGCTACTGTTGGGTGCCCATTGAGGGAAGCCTTGCTGTGTGCAGCCAGAGCTATCGAGCTTGTTTGAAGTTTTCCTTCACCTGACTACACCTGCAAGTCTAATGTTCCCAGCACCTCTTTGTGTTGTACTTGAAAATGTTAGGCTCTGTAATGAAAATGTGTGAGAAAATGTTTTCTGGGTTTATGCCACATGCTCGTCTTAGCTTTGGTTTTGGCTTTAATTTTTATATCTACTATACTGTACTGTGGCTGGTCTAGTTTAATGACTAGATCAATGACTGCTTGAACAAACTTTCTTGCAACAGCTTTAGGCTCTGTGGCTTACAGGCTTTGGGCTTGTGTACATGGCATCAGTGTGAGTTTAGTTTGAGATCCTTCTGAAATCCTTCAAAAGTCATTAATGGTGCATTTGAGCTGTAACTGATCTCCTTCTGACCTGCACTTGGTTTGCATCAAGCAGGTTTTGCATTTTCATAGATTTTTTAGAATTGCAAAACCGGTTTCAAGCAAACAAAAGCCCATTGATACAGTCCCTTACACTCACATACTTTAGCAATTTGGTTTCTGTTTCTTGTCAAACATTTTATAGTAAAACGTTTTGCATGTTCACATACCTTATGCAGTGATATCTGTGGATGGGCTCTTGAATTAAAATGTTTCAACCAAAACTGTTACAGATGGTGTTTATAAGTGGAAAACCTTTAAACAAAGAGAAACATAATTACACAATCTTTCAATTTGAAGTTTAAAATATGATTTACCGAAATTCACCTTTGCTGTTTGTCTTCTTAATCACGAGGTGCAATGGAGAAAAAGTGTATGCCCCATGTACTGATTGGAACAAACAACTTCAACTATATCCTAATTGACACCAAACTGGGCCATTCTATAGTGACGGTTATTCACATCAGCGATTTGCTTCATGGGGTAAACCAATTTGGTTGTAAGCTAGAGGGTAAAGTTGGTCCTATACCAAGCCCATATAAAGCTATCCATACCGTAAGGATACAGGAAACCAAATGCCGCATTATCAAAGGTGCATAAACATATTGACCAAATAACGTAGCAACCAGATGAGATCATATCAAATGTAAAATGGAGTATAGGATACACTGTAGAAGTGCGTTAGTTCAGGATCAAGGCCATCCCTTAGTCATTTAATTGGTGCCAGTGATGCAAATTGGGAATCCAACTGGGAAAATGGACCGCATGCACTGGATTGCTTATATCAGAGGGAGAACCTCCTATTGGCAGACAATTGCTTCAAATTTCCAACTGTGGGGAAGTTCAACCAATCAACACGATGAAGTGCATGAATTACTGGGCTAATTAAACAACACAATACTGCCTTAAAACAGAAGGCATCTGCAGATCTCAATTCCATCAAATAAAAATGTGTGTCTCATTTTAGAGCCAAATAAAAAATATGCAACATCTTTGATGTTTTTGTTTAATAGAGTGCATCATTTTACTTCTTGGACATGCATCCACCATTCACTCTGTTGACATTTCTGTGAATTAACTTGGTGCACCAGGGGGAAGGGTCCCTGACCACATCTATTAAGCTCAGTAAAGTGCATGTTAAATTATGTGTTAAAGTGTATCTATTATACCCCACCCCACTGACTTTCTCACACTATTACCTGAAAGTCATAAAGCCGTAAGGCAGATCTGTAATATTTCAGCTACAGAAGCTATTGTTCAAGGATTTCACGGAGACCTTTCAGGTACCAAATTGCATTTGGTGACACGATCTTTGCTAAAGACACCGATTTTAGTTAAGTATTGATGCCACTTCAGCAGAGTCACCAAAAATGTTGGTGTTTGGTAACATGACCAACCACCGCAAACTATAAAATGTGGTTTCTGCAGCAAAAGAAAATAATTCAAGGCTACACTTCAAGGCTTTTATGTCTCTGAGGTAGTGAGGCTTGCAGATTTTACAATGCATTGGAATTGTGCAGCCCTTCTTAAAGGATAAGTTCACTTTTTTGACAAAAATAATATATGCACATTTTTGCAGGTAAAAAAAAATTAGCATTTAGTATTTTTGGTTGCAGGAACCTGTAAAGCATTACATCAGTGATCAGCAGATCACTGGTGCCATGCAGGTCTCCTGCAGACCTGTTAGCATATCTGCTTGCCCATACTAGATGTACAGATGACAGGAAGATTCACTGAACTACCACGGCTCTCCACAGCACCGTGGTAGTTCATTGAGAACTACAAGCAGACAGCCGATCATTGTGAATGAATAACATGGCTATGTGGGCAGAGCCCCACAAGGCCGCGTGGTTTTTAAAAAGTGACAGCTAGTACGGGAAACCTATCCCATATTTCTGTCACAGGGACGGGGACGGTGGTGGGGGTGGGGGCAGTGGGTAGATGTTACATGTTCCACCCTAAAAGGTTTGGGAACATGTAACATGTACCCAAAGGTGACACAAAAAAACACAAAACACAACATCATTCATTTTTTTTGGTATAAAAAAAAAATGTGCATTTATTATTTCTTTTCTTCTTAGGAGCCTGTAGAGTATTGCACCCACGATCAGCGGCTTGCAGGTGCAATATCAGGCTTTTGCAGACTGTCAGTACAGCTCTCTGCCCATACTTCCCATATGAGCAGGCAGTTATTGAAGTCCAGGAAGATCCATGAACTAGGAGAGAAATCACCAGCGCTCTCTCAGTGCACGGAAGACTACACGTTGTCTGCTGCAATGGCGGATGGTACGTGTAGTCTACTCATTCACAAGAAGCTGAGTGAACAACGCAGCTGTGTGGGTGGAGCTGCACGGTATTTAAATTGTGGCAATCAGGTGCAGGAAAAGGATCCCCTGCCTACTGTCACAATGGGAGATGGGTTGGAGTGCCAGCAAGGGCTTTAGTAATACATTAAATCCTGAATATAGGTGTAATATGTAACAGGTTACTAAAGGTGAATTTATATTTTGAATCATAATCAGCATATTTTAATAATACCTTATTAATCCCAAAGGGAAATGAATTAGTGATGAAACATTAAGAGAGCATAAGACATGATGAATTATGTACAGCATAGATTTTACATATTTTGCTGGGACATGCACTGAAGTTTCTAGTTGTATTAGAATTATAGCTTATCATTAGAGATGAGCGAATTATTCAAAAATTCGATTCGGCTGATTCGGCGAATTCGCGGAATAAATTCGATTCGAGTCGAATATATTCGCTGCGAATTTAACTTATAAAAAGGGTGTTTCTAGGCTTCAGAGAGCCTTTATATTAGTGCAGAACACTGTACCTTTAATTTAAATGCCCTTGGAGTCTGCTGGGGAAGAGAAATAATACTGTCAGTCAGTATGACATGCAGATGAGTGCCGTCGATCTTAGAATCACCGCACACTTCACTCATTTGGGCAGTCACGGGGCCAAAACCAGAGTGTGGAGCCACAGTGTGGCGGTGGAGGCAGCAGCAATGGGGAGGCCATACAGCACCCTATGACAAAATGGAACCCACCAGCAGTGTGAGGAGACCTGAAAGTGGCACATGGCAGAGTGTGGCGATGGAGACAGCAGCAATGGGAGGCCGTACAGGGACCCATGACACACTCTGGACCTGGCAGCAGCATGAGGAGGCGGTACAGGGGCCCATGACAGATTACGGGCCTGGCAGCAGCATGAGGAGTCGGTACGGGGGCCCATGGCAGATTACGGGCCTGGCAGCAGCAATGGGAGGCCGTACAGGGACCCATGACACACTCTGGACCTGGCAGCAGCATGAGGAGGCGGTACAGGGGCCCATGACAGATTACGGGCCTGGCAGCAGCAATGGGAGGCCGTACAGGGACCCATGACACACTCTGGACCTGGCAGCAGCATGAGGAGGCGGTACAGGGGCCCATGACAGATTACGGGCCTGGCAGCAGCATGAGGAGTCGGTACGGGGGCCCATGGCAGATTACGGGCCTGGCAGCAGCAATGGGAGGCCCGTAATCTGCCAGCACCCTATGACAAAATGGAACCCACCAGCAGTGTGAGGAGACCTGAAAGTGGCACATGGCAGAGTGTGGCGATGGAGACAGCAGCAATGGGAGGCCGTACAGGGACCCATGACACACTCTGGACCTGGCAGCAGCATGAGGAGGCGGTACAGGGGCCCATGACAGATTACGGGCCTGGCAGCAGCAATGGGAGGCCCGTAATCTGCCAGCACCCTATGACAAAATGGAACCCACCAGCAGTGTGAGGAGACCTGAAAGTGGCACATGGCAGAGTGTGGCGATGGAGACAGCAGCAATGGGAGGCCGTACAGGGACCCATGACACACTCTGGACCTGGCAGCAGCATGAGGAGGCGGTACAGGGGCCCATGACAGATTACGGGCCTGGCAGCAGCAATGGGAGGCCCGTAATCTGCCAGCACCCTATGACAAAAATGGAACCCACCAGCAGTGTGAGGAGACCTGAAAGTGGCACATGGCAGAGTGTGGTGATGGAGACAGCAGCAATGGGAGGCCGTACAGGGACCCATGACACACTCTGGACCTGGCAGCAGCATGAGGAGGCAGTACAGGGGCCCATGACAGATTACGGGCCTGGCAGCAGCATGAGGAGTCGGTACGGGGGCCCATGGCAGATTACGGGCCTGGCAGCAGCAATGGGAGGCCCGTAATCTGCCAGCACCCTATGACAAAATGGAACCCACCAGCAGTGTGAGGAGACCTGAAAGTGGCACATGGCAGAGTGTGGCGATGGAGACAGCAGCAATGGGAGGCCCGTACAGGGACCCATGACACACTCTGGACCTGGCAGCAGCATGAGGAGGCGGTACAGGGGCCCATGACAGATTACGGGCCTGGCAGCAGCATGAGGAGTCGGGTACGGGGGCCCATGGCAGATTACGGGCCTGGCAGCAGCAATGGGAGGCTGTACAGGGACCCATGACACACTCTGGACCTGGCAGCAGCATGAGGAGGCGGTACAGGGGCCCATGACAGATTACGGGCCTGGCAGCAGCATGAGGAGTCGGTACGGGGGCCCATGGCAGATTACGGGCCTGGCAGCAGCAATGGGAGGCCCGTAATCTGCCAGCACCCTATGACAAAATGGAACCCACCAGCAGTGTGAGGAGACCTGAAAGTGGCACATGGCAGAGTGTGGCGATGGAGACAGCAGCAATGGGAGGCCGTACAGGGACTCATGACACACTCTGGACCTGGCAGCAGCATGAGGAGGCGGTACAGGGGCCCATGGCAGATTACGGGCCTGGCAGCAGCAATGGGAGGCCCGTAATCTGCCAGCACCCTATGACAAAATGGAACCCACCAGCAGTGTGAGGAGACCTGAAAGTGGCACATGGCAGAGTGTGGCGATGGAGACAGCAGCAATGGGAGCCGTACAGGGACCCATGACACACTCTGGACCTGGCAGCAGCAAGAGGAGGCGGTACAGGGGCCCATGGCAGAGTGGCGAAGCGTAAGCAGCCTAAATTGAAGGCCATACAGAGGCCTATGTTAAAAATAATAACATGTTTGGGGCATGATTCATGGCGGATTTAGTCAGTTGTGTCAGGAACTGGTGGTTTGAAATCCAGAGACTAATCCACGCCTGATTCATTTTCACAAACGTGAGAGTCTCTCCACACTTTGGGTGGACAGTCGTGTCCTCCGCGGAGTTACAATACCTCCTGCCGCACTAAACACGCGCTCCGATCCACGCTACTGGCCGGGCATGACAGCCTTTCAAGGGCAAATTCAGCTAGTTGGGGCCAAAGGTCAAGTTTCGTTGCCCAGTAGTCAAGGGGATTGTCTACCTCGGTTGGCAGGGTGCTGTCCAAGTAGGCCCAAGCCTGTTGTTTGAGGTCCTGCTCCAGGTCCACCTGATGCTGCTGCTGCTGCGGCTGGTTAGTAGTTTCCTCACTGCGCTGGTGAAGAAAGCTACTCATCATCGACTGCAGACTGAGGCAGCCGCTGCTGGTGGAGCTGCCACTGCTCCTACCACCCCCACCCCTCCCCTGCTGCCATGGCAGCGGAACGCGAGCGCACAGGGCCCACAGTGTCTGAGGATGGACGTTGGCGCAGAAAGGCAGAGACCAACTGACTACATAGGTGGTTTTTTATAGTACGTTATTTTGGCCTCCCTCTCAGCAGGTGTGAAAAAGGCCACCATTTTTGAACGGTAGCGAGGGTCCAACAAGGTGGACAGCCAAAAGTCATCCCTCTGTCTGATGGTTATTATTCGGGCTGTCGCTACGCAAGCAACCGAGCATGCTATGGGCCATTTGTGCCAAGGAATGCGAGGGACTCCCTGCCTCCATCTCCACAGCATACTGCCACGGTGCGTCTGGGTCCTCTGTCTCCTCTCCTCCTCTACCAGATGCTCCTGCTCCTCCACTCCTGTCCGCTGAGTGGAAAAAACCACCCATTTCACTCAATAATTCCTGAGCACCAATGTCCTCCTCCTACCTCCTCCTCTCTCTTCTTCCTGTCCCTGCCCCCACAGGGGTCATGTGGCGTTGAGATCTGTGCGCCACGTCTACCGCACCCTGACCAGCCATTGTTAACAGCATTTGTTCCAGGACGTGCAACAGAGGAATGACGTCGTTCATCCCATAGTCCTGCCGACTCACGAATAGCGTGGCCTCCTCAAAGGGCCTGAGCAAGCGGCAGGTGTCACGCATGAGCTGCCAATGGCTGACATCTAAGTACACAGGGGAGTACCTTTATCCGCTTGTAACATCAGGAAATCGGTGATGGCCTTTCGCTGTTCGTAAAGGCGGTCTAACATATGTAGGGTTGAATTCCACCTTGTTGCAACGTCGCAGATCAGGCGATGCTGTGGAATTCCGTTCTGCCGCTGCAGCTCAAGGAGGGTGTGCTTTGCGGTGTAGGAATGGCTGAAATGCATGCAAAGTTTACGTGACATTTTAAGGATGTCTTGCAGTGGGATGGTGGATTTTAGGAACAGCGCTTGACAACCAGATTGAACACGTGAGCCATGCATGGCGCATGGCACAACCTTCCTTGACGCAGAGCAGACACCATGTTCTTTCCGTTGTCGGTCAACATGGTTCCGATTTTCAGTTTGCGCGGAGACAGCCATCTGTCGATTTCTCTGTTCATTACACTCAGAAGTTCCTCCCCTGTGTGACTACGTTCGCCAAGGCATACCAGGTGCAGCACAGCGTGACACCGTTGCGCCCTGCACATGTGATATGCCGGTCGGGTAATGGGACTTGGCACGGGGGTGGCGGCTGAGGACACGGCGGGAAGAAGAGGTGGTAGAGGCGGACATCTTTGCTGGACCAAGGACGTGCAAACGTGGAGGCAAAAGCGGCGTGACCTGTCCAAGTTGCTGGTGCGGCTGTGCCGGCACCACGTTCACCCAGTGGGCCGTAAATGACATGTACTGTCCCTGACCGTAGTTACAGCTCCACACGTCGGCGCTGCCGTGCACTTTGGCAGAGACCGACATGCTCAAAGACTGGCCCACCATCTCTTCTACATGTGAATGCAGGGCTGGCACTGCCTTTTTGGCGAAGAAATGCCGGCTTGGCACTCTCCACCGCGGCTTGGCACAAGCCATCATTTCTCGGAAAGGTGCTGAGTCCACCACTTGGAAAGGGAGGGACTGCAGCACCAGCAACTTGGACAGGAGGACGTTCAGCTTCTGCACCGTCGGGTGCGTGCTCGCAAACTGTTGTCTCTTGGAAACGGATTCCAAGAAAGACTGCTGACGGAATCCGTAAAGAGGAGTAGCAGGAGAAGGAGCATCTGAACGAGCGGAAGATGCCAACGAGCGACAACTCCCCTCAGCAGAGGTGTTGGAGCCTTGACTGGCTGATAGAGGGCGATTGACGTCGGGTGACGGAGCAAGTAACGGAGCGGGTGATGGAGCGGGGGCTGGGGCAGGCAGAACCGCCGTATCTTTATCACGGTTTTCCCAGGCCACCGAATGGCGACGCTGCATATGCTGACGCAACGCTGTAGTCCCAACATGGGCCCCCTGGCCACGCTTGACTTTCTGGCCACATAGTCGACATACGGCTACGTTTTTACTTCCTCGGGCGGCTTGACGAAAAATTGCCACACCGCCGAGTAGGAAACTTTGCCCCCGCTACTCCTCACTGGCTGACTGCTACTTCCTCCGTGCACACCGGCACCACTACTGGCCGTGGTGGTAGGCTGCAGTGGAGCTGGTGCTCTACTCCGTGGCCGTTTGCCTCCACTGACACTGCTGCGACCCTGCTGCCTCCTGGGCAACCCACCGACTGTTTTGCTCGCTGGCAAGCTGGCACCCTCTTCTCCTGATGATGCGGAAGCAATAGCCTGATGACGACGAGGCTGCCAAGTGCGATCAGCCTCATCATCATCAATTAGGGTCTCCGCGTCACTACTAGCCCCCTCGGCTGCGTGTGGGTCAGGAGACAGACCTGTCTCTAGACCGGCTACCGAGCCACTCTCCTCGCCAGTACTTCTTCGCCTGGCTGCTGAAGAGGCGGATGTCTCCCCCCGTTCCTGACCGCCCTCTGTTAGCTCTTCCTCACTGTACAGTGGGGCTGAGCCCACAGCATGCGATACTTCGCTTGGTGAGGGAACACCAAAGGACAGGGGCAGGTAGAGGACACGTGATTTCAGTGGGCTTGCTCCCGGGCCATGCCAACTAACGGTTGTGTCTGACGTACCCACCGACCGTTGGCTGTAGGTGTCAGAGGTGACCTGGGAAGAGGAAGACGACCGAGCCAACCAATCGATGACGGCAGGGTTGTCGGTGGAGACACGACCGCTGGATGACACCGGGAGCA